AGAGCTTCCCTCTGCAGATTAAAGACCAAACTCCTGCATGACATATACATACCCCTTCACAGCTGGGCCCCCCCTTTAAGTTTCTGACCATTTCTTGCCATTTCCTTACTGTTCTCTGTGGGTTTTATGCCCTGGCCCTGTACTGTACAACCCTGGTTGCACATTAGAATCACCTGGAGAGCTTTCCAGACTACTGAAACTCATTCCCACCCTGACCTAACTCTTTTAAAATTAATTTTATTTTTCAATTACAGTTTACATTCAATATTATTTTGTATTAGTTTTAGGCCACCCTGACCTAACTCTTAGAGGTGAAGCCTGGGCATCAGTATTTGTTAAAAGTTCCCCAGGAACCCGGCCGGCAGTGGCTCAGCGGTTGAGCATCGACCTAGGATCCAGGAGATTGAGGTTTGATTCCTGGTCAGGGCACATGCCCAGGTTGAGGGCTCGATCCCCAGTCGGGGGCGTGCAGGAGGCAGCCAATCAGTGACTCTCTCATCATTGATGTTTCTCTCTCTCTCTCTCCCTTTCCCTTCCTCTCTCTGAAATCAATAAAGATATATTTTAAAATAAAATAATAAAATAATAAAAATAAAATAATAAAATAAAGTTCCCCAGGAGATCCTAATGTTCAGCCAGGGAACAAACTACTAGGTTTTGCCCTCTTGTGAACATACCACGCACTCTACGTGCCAACCTTTTATACACAGTTTCCTTCATCTAATTCCTTTCTGTCCCTCTTGTGTATAATGAAACTTGATTCATTCTTCAGTACCTCAGTCCTCTCACTTCTCTGAAGTGTTGTCAGAGCCCCCCTTCTCCCAAGAGTTGGTAGCCTCTCTACCATGTCCTCATAGTACTTTCTACATTTTTCACATATATGCCAATTGTGAGTTAAGTAAAGGAAGGACCCTTATCTTATCCATAATGTGCCCCCAAAGCCTTGCATAATGCTTAGCATCTCAGCCTGGAGAGACACTAGTCTGATCCATTGTACAATCATTATTCAATTAGCCGAGATAACAAGATTAAAAAGCAACTACCATGTGCTGAGAGTCACGTCTTGCCAGAGTAATTGAGTTTTGGTCTCTAATAATATGAAAAACTGTAACAGGAAAGAATTGTTAGGGAACTGTGCATTGACTGAATGACCCACTTTATCTTGATTTCAGTAAAGTTCTTATGCTTTCACAAGTAGTTTTCTCAGTGATCATCTAGGGAAAGCATTGTCCCAATTATACAATTTAAGTGGTTGAGGAAGTAGAAGGACATTAATTACCAAAGAAAGGCACCTATGATTAATAATTAATAGATGTGATTCATTAGTATAATGCCATTGGGAAAAAAAGTGGGCAAGAGCCCATATGCTACTGGTACATAGATAGTCATTAAGTTTTGGTCACCACAGTTCATCAAAGAGATGTGAGGATTCAGAGATGAATGCCAAAGATAATTAAAGTAATGGAAAACAGGTCCCATGAGGAAAGGTTGTGTAATTAAAGCAAGAAAAAGCCTAGGGACACACATTTGATTACTCATTTCATGATATACATATTTTTTGTGAGATATATTCTTTATATCCACACACACAAGTAAGCATGAAGAAATTAGCTTACATTACAACAGGCAAGTTTTGGTTGGACATTTAAAAAATATTCTAATTAATTGGATTATAGAATGCAAATTTATTAGTTAGCTGGTTTTTGACAAATCAAGGTTCCAGTGATTTTTATTTTTATTTTTGGAAGATGACATATAACAATGGTTTGGGAATTTTAATTTGTTGGAAAATGAAATTATGAATGATGCAGAAATCATATTGTCAGATCAAAAACAGATGGAGATAAATAGGAAACAGAAGAAAACAAACACAGAGCCCCAAACGCTTATGCTGTGGCCCAAATGCTCTTTGTGTTATGTGGAGACAGCTTGCGTCCCAGACAGACACAGCCTTCATCATCAAGTGAACGAGCCATAGTGTATGATAGTGTTCTGTTTTACGAACAACCTAATACAAGGTTTTATTAAGTAAATCTGCATCTGTATGTTTCAAGCTGAAATAAAATGTTTAAGACATATATGTGTGTTTTTTAAAGATTCCATTCCTCTACATTTTGAGGATAATTTTTTCAACTTTTAACCTAGGATAATTTCAAACATGCAGGAAAGTTACAAAAATAGTACAAAAAATACCTATGTACCTTTACCCAGATTTACCTGATGCTAACATTTTACCCCATTTGTGTGCTTGTGTTCTCTCTCTCTCTCTTTCACACACACACACACACACACACACACGCACACAATTTTTGTTCTACCCACTTGAGAATAAACTACATGCATCATGGACCTTTACTTATAAATCCTTCAGGGCGTATTCTCAAGTACTAAGAATATTATCTTACAGAACCACAGGACGGGCATCCACTTCAGTAAGTTTATTACAGATATGGTGCTTTAATCTACTATCCGTATTCCAGTTGTTTCCATTGACCCAATATTGGCCTTTATAGGTGTTTTCTTTTCCTCCAAAGTCTGTGCTTTTCAAAATGGCATCTGAGGCCCTCCGCAAACAAAACTAGGGTTGTGTCCTTCCAGTTGGGAGCTCCTCGCCTTTCCCTCCACCCCAGGTTCACTCCCCTGTGCCTGTTTCTGCTCCTTGGAGCGCACCTTATGCAACGCCTACTTTTCTTTTCCTTTCACTGCTCAGTCTTTTATGAAGACTTTTCTTGCTGCCTTCCTGACCCAGATGGAAGCCGGTGGCCTTTCTCCTCATTTCCTCCCCCATCTGGGACCCTGGGTGTACTTGAAATATCAGCGCATATGCATGAGTACATGTCCACCCCCTACCCCAGTCACCCTTGTCCTCTGCTGTGAGACTCTAAGAGCTTTGAAAAAAGGAACGGTATTTTATTGGTCTTTTTATCCCCAGATGTTAACATTGGGTCTGTCGCACAGGAGTTGCTTTATAAATACTTATTTATCAACAATGGAATATGTCTTTGTAAAGAGCTGCTGTAGGAGCCTAATCCCAAAGAGCTTCCAAAGAAAGGAAAATGCCCCTCAGCCAAGGGCCTTAATGGTTCTAGGGGGAAGGGGAATGAGTTTGGGTTGGGGGATTGGTCTCTTCCAATTAAATGGTAGAGTATGGTGAAATTAGGCATAACCTTTACATTTCTTAAGGTTTCTCAAGGTCACACACATTTTGCAAGAATGTGGACTGAATTTACTTTTTAATTTTTAATTTTGAACTAATTTCATACTCCCAGTAAAACTGCAAAAATAGGACAGAGAGTTCTTAGAAATCCTTCACCCAGCTTCCCCTAATAGTAACATCTTCTATAACCATAGAATGGTGGTCAAAACCAGGAAGGTAGCTTTGGCACAGTGCTGCTAACTCAGCTACAGACCTCATTCAAATTTCACCAACTTTTCCACTGATGTCTTTTTTCTGTTCCAGGATCCTATCCAGGACCTCACATTACGTTTACTTGTCATGTCTCCTTAATTGCCTCCCATCTGTGACAGTTCCTCAGTCTGTCCTTGCCTTTGTGATCTTGACACTTTTGAAGAGTATTGGTCAGTCTTTTGTGGAATGTCTCTCATTTTGGGTTTGTCTTATGTTTTCTCATGGAGAGAATGAGGTTCTGCATTTTTCACAAGAATACCGCTGTGATGTTGTGATGTGCGCTCTTCTCAGAGCATCGTGTCTAGGGCACACGATGTCATATGTCTTATTAATGGTGATGTTGAACTTGATCACTTGGGTAAGGAGGTTTCTGCTTGATTTTCCCCTGTAGAGTTACCATCTTTTTCTTTGACATTAATAAATATCTTAGAGATGCTTTGAAACTATGAAGATAATCCTGTTTCTCTTCACACTGTTACCCATTAATATTGGCATGCATCAGAGAATCTTGTCTGTAACAGATTTTACTGTGATGGTTGCTTAAGAGTTAATTTCTTATTTCCCTCTTTCCTTCTACATTTATTGATTAGAAAGAATTCTTTTGGAAAAAGGAGCTGCAGATGGGATTTGGATTTAGATGCAGGATGTCACATACTTCTAATCAATATTTTCTGATTTATTGATTCTTTAGATAATTAGTTTAATAGCTATATTTTAAAAATGTCTTTAATGTTATCTATGTGTTTACATTAATGTTTATGTAAAGGCATTGCAATCACATAAGTTATTACTACATTTTCTATATTATAGGCAGACTGAATGACTCAGTTTTATAAGTACAAGAATCAATGACATTAAAAAAACACAACTGAAAAAAAATTTTTTAATAAAAAACCTGAATGATGTTAAAAGGGGCACAGCCTGCATGTAGTCCTTAAAAAATTACTAGCTCTTTGTTTAGCTCCTGAATGTCTAGTAGTAAAAATTGTACTGTTGTTGTCTAGCCACAAATGGATCATGGAACAAATGTAAGTTCTCTATGAGGAGAACTTTGATTTTAGCATTTCTTGGCTTTTATATGTTTGCATTGTTAATTGTAGCAGAATTACAGAACACAGTATATTTAGCCTGTGCTCGGCAATTTTCATCAACCATAGTTATCATGCCTGGTTTGCCCACAGTGGTTAGTCAACAAAAAAGCAGTGAATTGCAATAGATTCATTTCTCAGTTAGAAATTCATTTTCCAAGAATGGCATCTCTCGTTTTATAAAAAATTGTAAAAGAGAATTATTTAGATCAGAGCTTGACAAACTTTTTCTGTAAAGGGTCAGAAAATAAATAATCTCGGCTTTGTAGGTCATTCAGTCTTTGTCACTATTACTCAGTTCTGCTGTTGTAGGGTGAAAACAGCCATAGACAGTATGCAAGTGAGTGGGCAGGACTGTGTTCCAATAAAACTTTATTTAGAAGAACAGGTGGCCTGTGGGGTGGGGGCGGGTATAGTCTACTAATTCTCAATTTAGACTATAAAAATACACAAACTCAAAATATGCATTAACACTTATCCTGATCCCTGATTTTTCTCTACAGGCAGAAGACTGATCTTTGAAAATATGTATTTGGGAGATAGTCACGTTCTGTTGACTACCTTGTGCTGGTGCTGCCACAGGAAAATCTGGTTACACTCCGGGGAGGCCTGCCGCCGCTGCAGGACTGAACCACCTCGGCCCTGAGATGAGTGTCGGGCCTGAGCGGGCACACCATGAATAGATACACAACAATCAAGCAGCTCGGGGATGGAACCTACGGTTCCGTCCTGCTGGGAAAAAGCATCGAGTCTGGGGAACTGATTGCTATTAAAAAGTAAGTTTTCTCCTTCACTCTCATGAATGCATCCCCAACTATCCATTGTCAACAGCATTTTAACTCTGTCCTCTTCATTCCTTGTTTTTGAAAATTTTGAAAAGGGGAGTGCGTGGGAAGCATGGAGAAAAACCTTAGACATTGACTTCTTTGGGTTAGATGATTGTCGACTCTGGAATGCTCATGTTCAAGGTCTTAAACATTCCCATTTTGGATTTGCTACTTTGCATATAGCATTAGTAACTTTTCAACTTGTTTTCTCCTCTTGTGAGGTAATAACGAGCAGTTTAATAAATATTATTTCATAGGAAAGGAAACTGAAACTCTGAGAAATTAAGTGACTCAATTTGGGTCATTTACACATGTGGTGGTCTGGTGACTACTGTCCTGTTCCCCCGACCCCACTTGCCTTTGCATTATAAGTTCAGACTCATTGTATTAGTTATCTGTTGCTGTGTAAAAGTTGACCCCAAGAATGAGTGGTTTAAAACAACTATTTCACAGTTCTAGTGGCTCAGGAGTCTGGGCCTGGCGTAGTTGAATTCTCTGCTTTAGGGTCTCTCGTGAGGCTGCAGTCAAGGTATTGGCCAATGCTGGGGTCTCATCTAAAGCTGGATTGGGGAAGGATCTAGTTCCAAGCTCACTCACACGATTGTGGGCAGCATTCAGTACTGCCTGGGTTGACGGACTGAGGGCCTCGGTTCCTGGCTGGCTTTTGACTGGAGCCTGCCCTGAGTTCCTTGTCACATGGGCCTCTCCAAACAGCAGCTCACAACACAGCAACTTCATCAAGACATGGAGCAAAGAAGGCAATGAGAGTCTTCCACCAAGATGGAAGTCACATCTTTTTGTGTTTTTTAAAACTAATTATGGAAGTGACATCCTCTCAAATTGCTATATTCTTTTGGTTAGAAGCAAGTCATTGAAGGAGAGCAGGTTATACCAGGTTGTGAGTACCAGGAGATGGGGGGTCTTTGGAGGCCTTTTTGGAGAGTGTCTGCCACACCCATTTATATTCAGTTGCTTTCTCAGCATCTCCATTCGGTCAGATGTCCTATAGACACTTCAAATTCATCATATCTAAACCTGAACTTATGTCCCACATATTCTGCTTTTGCTCTCAACCTGCTTCTTCTCTAGTATTCCCTATCTTGATAAATGACGCTACTCTCCCCTCAAAACCTGGGAGTCTTCCTGACTTCCCTTCATATGCTCTGTCATTGGTCATCTAGTCCTGACAACTCTACTCAATATTTATCTGATCCACCTACTTCTCTGTGTTCCACTGCTAACCTCCCTGTCAACCCATTATCACTTACCACCTCTACTGGAATAATTTCTTCTGTAAGGTCCCTGGCTTCCATTCTTACCCCCATCCATTCCAGTTTGAAGAGGTTATTTTAAACTAATGAATCTAATTGTCTGAAACCATTTGTGACAAATATTCTTTGTGTCCCTGCTGCCCTATCATACCTTTTTGTCCCACCTGACTTAAATGCACTATGGTGTACAGTGTCCTACCCACCAGCAGCATCCCACCGCTGGTACACGCAGGAGACTCTCAACCAGCATGCCCTCTACACAGTCAGTTCCTGAGAAGGTTCCCAGCAGGACTAAGCCCCAGTTGCCCACCTTGGCATCAGCTCAGGAATGCACCCTTAATGGATTTCCTACCTCTGTTCCCAGTTTCTCTGCTCCTTGTTTTGACAGGCTTCCTAGAATCGCCTCCCAAATAAACTACCTGCACCGGAGTCCTTGCCTTGGGGTCTGCTTTCAGGGGAACTCAAACTAAGACAGCTTTCGGTGTCTTCCTACCAGTTTTAGGATCAAGCCTCTAATTTTTAACATGACCTACAAATAGCTGCCTCATTCAGCCCCCGCCTGTTTTCTTCAGCCGTATCTCCTATCACTGCCCCTTGCCGACTTTGTTCTGGCCTCTCTGGTCTTTCAGCTTCTTGAACTCACCAGACACCTTTCTGCCCCAAGCCTTCACATGATATTCCCTCTTCCACCTTCCTACCAGACTCAGTTCTGCTCATCCTTCAGGTTTTGGTTGAAATATCACCTCCCTAGGGGAATGTTTCAGACTACATTGGATCGCCTTGAGGTCCACTCCCGACAATGCCCTGTGCCTCTCCTTCCTGGCACTTAGTACAGAAAGTGATGAATTACCTGCCTTTCTGCTACAGTGTCAGTCCTGTGAGGGATGTCTCTCTCATCATTGTATCTCCAGTGTCTGACAAAGCCCCTGCTGCATAGGAGGGGCTAAGTAATATTTGGGGCATGAATGAAAGAATTGATCACTCCACCAGGAGACAGTGTGACATCGAGGGTAGAGTGTCAGAGTGAGGTGTCAGAAGTTTGTCTGTTCTTAGCCAGCCATGAGACTTTGGGAAATCGAGTTACTTCTCTGTTCCTTAGTTTCCCCACCTGTCCCATCTGTTTCACAGAGCAGCTGTAAGATTCAGATGAAACAATGTGATTCAAATTAATGGAAGAGAGAACCTTGACACCTGGGTTTCTGGTTAGCTAATAGGCTTCCCTTTCTCACCCCCAAGCTCCAAACCAGGGATTGGAAAACTTTTTCTGTAATGAGCCAGACAGTAAATATTTCAGACTTTGCAGTCCATATGGTCCCTGTCACAACTCAGCTCTGCCGTTGTTGTGGTGTGAAAGCAGTCAGAGACCATGTATAGATGAATGAGTGTGGCTGTATGCCAACAAAACTTCATATATGGAAACTGACATTCAATTTCAGATAATTTTCACATGTCACAAAATATTCTTTTGATTTTTTTTAATCCCAACTATTTAAAAATATAAATGCCATCTTAGCTTATGAGCTTTACAGAAACTGATGGGGAGTGGAGTTGCCCCTAGGACATAGCTTGCCAACCTCTGTATTGGCGTGTCTAGAACCGTGTTGTCTAACATGGTAGCAAGTATCCATCTGTGGTATTGAAATGTAAATTTAACTAAGAATTCAGTTCCTATGTTGAACTAGCCACATTCCAAGTGCTCAGTGGCCACATGTGTCTAGCAGTGACCATCCTAGACAGGCAGAACATTTCCAGTGAAACAGAAAGTTCTATTGGACAGCCCTGGTTTAGATAAAATAAGAATGAGGGGCTCCCTCCACGGCAAGGTTAGCTGATTAGTGATAGAGCAGGATAGCAGCCCAGGCCTCTCTGTACTACACTGCACCACCTTGCTGGAAAATTTGGTGACAGGATTGATTGCCAGATTTTAAAATAAATGCTGTTTTGGATAGTATAATATTTGATAGAAATGAAAACCAGTTTTAAGCACGATTCATTAGGTTCAGAATGAAAACATTAAAAAAAAAGTTTAGCCTGTGACTGGGAGTAAGCATACTATTTGTTTCTCTCTTCTCTTTTAGAATGAAAAGGAAGTTTTATTCCTGGGAGGAATGCATGAACCTTCGGGAGGTTAAGGTATGTATTAATGTTTCTCTCTCTCTTTCTCTCTCTCTCCTTCCTTCCCTCCCCCCCTTTCCCTTCCTCTCTCTGAAATCAATAAAGACATCTTAAAAAAAATTTACCACCTTACCAATTTTTAAAAAAGATTTTTTATTGATTTTTAGAGAGAGGAAGAGAGAGGGAGAGACAAAGAGAAACGTAGATGTGATAGCAAAACATTAATTGGCTGCCTCCTGCATGCCCCCTTCTGGGGATCAAGCCCACAACCTGGGCATGTGCCCTGACCAGGATGTGCATGGTACTACACCCAGCCAACTGAGCCACACTGGCCCAGGTACCACCTTAACCAATTTTTAAGTGTATATAGTTCTGTGATATTAAATATATTCCTATTGTTTTATAACCACATCACCATCTATCTCTAGAACTCTTTTCATGCAAAATGGAAGTCTGTACCCATTAAACAGTAACCCCCGATGACCCCTTAATACCTAGCCCCTAGCAACCACCATTCTACTTTCTGTCTTTATGAATTTGACTACTCTTAATATCTCATATAAGTGAAATCGTATAGTGCAGGCAGACCTCGTTTTATTGTGCTTCACTTATTGTGCTTCACAGATGTTGCATTTTGTACAATTGAAGGCAGGACACTCCAACTCACTTCATTGCAATATTCACTCATTAAGGTAGTTTAGAACCAAACCTGCAGTATCTCCAAGGTATGCCTGTGTTATCTTTTTGTGACTGGCTTATTTCACTTAGCACAATGTCTTCAAGGTTCATCCAGTTGTAGCATGTGTTAGAATTTCCTTCTTTTTTAAGGCTGAATCCTATTTCACTGTATGAATATACCATATTTTGCTTATCCACTCATCTGTTGAGGGACATGAGTTGCTCTCACCTTTTGGCTCTGGTGAACCTTCCCATTTCTTTAAACTCTTTCTTTCCAGTGACTCCTTCTCTTCAATCTGTAAATGTGCCTACCATTTTCTCTAATCAGCCGTAGCCCTCTCTCCCCTTGAGCTCCCACCCCTTTCCTTTCCTTACCTTCCAACCAACTCCTGTTGCCATCATTTCCCACCTACCATTGACTTTACACTGACTTGAGTCAGGCATCTCTCTCTGCTATAGAAGCTGCTCCCTTAAAGTCACCAGTAGCCAAGTCCAGGATGATTTTCTCAGGTGCTTTCTTGTCTGCAGGGTTGGATGCTGTTGACCACTTCTTCTCCTCTCCTAGGGCTGTGTGACTGCTTTTTCTTAGCTGTCCTACCTCTTTCTTGCCTTTCACCATTTTTTCTATGGTTCACCCCTTAAATATTGGCAATTTCTCTCATTCTGTTCTTAGCATTTTTTTCTTTGCTCTGACTCTACTGAGCAATTTCATTCAACCCCCTTGCTTCAGCAGTCTCATCAAATCTTTTGTCTTTCCTATGCATTAGACCAGGGATTAATAAATGGCCCATATTGCATTTTTGTAAGTAAAATTTTGTTGGAACACAACCATGTCTGTTTGTTTGCATATTGTTTGTGGCTGACTTCATGCTACAATGACAAAGTTGAGTAGTTGCAGCAGAGACCATATGGTAGCCTAGAGAGCCTAAAATATTTACTGCCTGTCCCTTTGGAGAAAAGTTTGCCCACCCCTGCTGCAGGCTCCTATATCTAGCTGCTCAGTGGATATCAGTGCCTGAATTTTCTAGAATGTCTGCATCCCCCAGTGCTGTTCATATTTGCTCCCCCTTCTGTTAATGATCATTTACCCAGAAACCACAGCTCCTTGCAGGTGGCTTGTGTGATCCCACTTTCCACACATCTCATCCACCCTGTGTGCTGCCGGAATGATCTGCGTGACATTCAACTGCTCATACACTGTCTACTGTTTTATCCCCACAAGTGCCTGAAGTGGAAGGTGTTAGTATCTTGAGTTTGCTCATGAGAACAGCTGAGGCCCAGACTGAGTAACTTGCTTGAGGTAAACACAGCTCGAAGCCACAAAGTTTGGTTTCAAACCCAGGTTTGTGTGAAGGCTTCAGTGGGTATCCATCTAGCATCCAAACAGTGTCTTCCCTGCCCACTTCTCTTTAAAGTCTTCCGGATGAGCTTTAGAACCCAACTGGGGCAATTTTTATTTCTCAGACAGAGAATGCCAGTCCATTCTCACTCCCTTGCCTGTGAGGTCTCCCCTCCCAACACACCCCTTCCCGCTCACTGAGTTGTCTAGGTGTTACTGTTCCTTAAAATCAAATTCAAATGATACTCACTAAGAGTTTAGTAATTACTCCCTCTTGAAGTATCTCTGATGTTCCTTGTCTCTGTCATTAATACAGTCTTCTTCATTGTTTTACATATATTTTGTTCTCTCTTCCAAATTAGGTTGCTCGCCTCTGAAGGGCAGACGCTGTGTCTTATGCCCAGGGTATTTTTTGGGCCCAGTACATTGTACATCAGGTTCTCAAATAATGTCCTTTCAGTCAACGTCTTTTCGTTATAACATTGATATCAATTAGCCTATGACACGATTGGTTTCTTTACACATTGTTTCACTGCAGTTCCAAGAACGTATTGATGACATTAAGTGAGGACTTACTGTAGTTTTGTTAATAATTAAGAAGCTTCATGCACGGGGATAAATGGTCCCTACTTGGATTGCTCACCCAGGTTTAATCTGCTTCTCTGCATTGATACAGCTATCCTGCCTCTTCCTCTCCTTTATAGACCTCTCCGGAGCCAAAAATAAGATGCCTTCTTCCTGGAAACATATCTCTGTAAAATGAGTCACATGAAGTCCTCCACACAAAATTATTCTTTTTATATTAAACTAATACAGGCTTTAACTTGCTCATGAGCCTCACTTAGAAACCAGAGCTGCGAGCCACTCTTAGCCTTGGGGACAGCAAAAGGTACCCTACTCCTTGCCTAGAATTCTCTTCTTGAAAAATTTAAAAATTTACTTCATTTTCCTCTGGACAAATTTGCTGCTCACCCACTGACATCTCAGCCATTGTGTGGGTTGCATTCTAAAGAAACTGGCAGAAAAGATAGCTGCAGGCCACGGGATTCCAGTGAATGCTACTTACAAGTTAAGCAATATTTGTTTTTGTTACTCATGGAGAACCAGGAATCCAACCCAACTGAAAGAAGTAATCAGCCCAGTGGGGTCATTCTAGAAGGATCTGTCCATTTGGACAAAACAGCTGAGTATTTCCTGCCAGAGACACGTGTTGGCAGGAGCTCGCCTTTCAGGGAAGAGGCTCCAGAGAGTCTTATTTGTTCTCACTTGCTGGCATAGTCCTCTCTCTTCCCAGCTGCTTGAAATAACTCGATCATATTGCACATTCCCAAGCTGTGATCCCTGGGGTGCCTTATTACTGAGTGTCCTTCCAGATTCGGATGTCAGCGTTAGCATTTTCATCTTCAGGCATTGCGCGTGTCTATAAAAGGGATGCTCTTTTCAGGACATTCAGAGATAAAGAGGGCTTTGCAGTGTTTATTATTGGACCCGATTCTCTGGGAGGAAGAGGCTTTTTGAATGACAAGGCTCATCCCACTAACCAGAGTGACCCTGGAAGGAGCCAGTCTATAAAATTCTAGTCATCTAGTGAGCAGAGCAGCGGTTGGGTATCGCTGGTTGTCACACGTGAACAGGATTGCTGCTCACCATCGACAGAACTAATGAGGCAAGAAAAAATGGTTTGCACGTGGCCGCACTCACGTGGATGTTCCCGGGAGAGGAAAACTGCATATACGCGAGGTGGAATAATACGGTCATGCAGCGTTTTATGAGTCACCCTCTTGTTGCTTGTGCCTGACTTGTATTGCCTTTGCTGTTCCTGGAAGTAGAGATATTTCTCCCATATCACTTCAGAGTCTTTCCAGAGGTTTCTCTTCCTTGCCCCTCTCCTTCAGGACTCACAGCATAGACACCCTTGAACTGGATGGAAGTTGACAGAATCAAGCTATTGGCCTCTCTTTGAACAATTTCTTGTTCCTAATGTCTGCAGACTGTTAACTGGGGATCTTGCCCCAAAGCAGCTGCCTTTTCCAACACAGGCATACCCCAGACATATTGTGGGTTCAGTTCCAGATCACCGCAATAAAGCAAGTTCTAATCTTTTTGCTGGTGGAGACTCTTCACTTCCATTTGTAAAAACTGCAACATCTGTGAAGCACAGTACAGTGAAGCTTGATAAAACGAGCGTGCCTGCACTCAAAAGCTCAGATCTTCCCATTGATGCCCGTCTCCACTTCCCAGGCATGAATTCTATTATCTGGATGGAATGCGCCTAAGCTAGCCCTGGCCCACTGCCTGGTACTGGTGGCACAAGAAATACCAGTTAAGGTCAAGCATTTACCTTCCAGTCAGTTAATCAAGATAGTTTTTTCATGTAAAGTTGTTATCGATTTCATAGAAATGACATTTATGAAATTGTTAATATATGAATTATGGTATTGCTGTGGTTTTAGAATTAGGTATTTCTTCCTAAGTCTACATGGGATTACTTTTTCAACAATAGATTCTCCTTAAGTTTTTGTTTTTCTTCCTCGCTTTTCAGTCTTTAAAGAAGCTCAACCATGCCAATATAGTAAAATTGAAAGAAGTTATCAGGGAAAACGATCATCTTTATTTTATCTTTGAGTACATGAAGGAAAATCTTTACCAGCTCATTAAAGAAAGGTATGGCTTGTTTTTCATGATCTTAGAAATAAATATTGCAAAGTGGATGTGTTTTCTTTCTGCTTTTGCTTTTTTCAGTCAGGTTCCTTAGGCTTCGCTATTTGAAGCTGCCCATCAGATGAGGGGCCCGACCCTCATTCCTACTTGGGAGGCCTTGTGGCAGCTTCATAGAAGCTAGTTTCAGTGAAGCTGTTTTCATGTTTTAATGGGTTACTCATCCAAAGAAGCTCAGATATTTGACAGATATTCTGCGGTTCTCCGTTCCCACAGGCACATGTGGGCAGAGCAACTACAAGTCAGGGGTGTAACAATTTCATTCATTTTGAGATCTCCATCGAAAACCTCTGGGTTTATTTCAGTTCCTTTCTTGCCACAGTGTTCAGGGGCTTGCGCTCTGAGCAGAAGAGACTGATAAAAAATTACCTGCTATGGTACTATGAACCTTAAAAGTGAACCATAGGACCTCTTGGGCACATTTTCTTGGTGGCAGATGAAAGCCATTCACAGCCTCCCTCTGAGCAATTTCAGTAAACAAATATTGTCTTCATTGTCAATAAGAGCAATGAAGCTGCATGGTTTCCCCAACCAGGAGGGGGAAATGTTATTATCTCCTACATGCCATAAAGCCTCAAATTTTCCCCATTAAAATCTTAAAAAGTATTAGTTTATATTATGGAGAGAGGAGATTTTTAAATGCTACATTAGAAGAAATTTTGTTGGGGGGTTTACTATAAAATATTTCATCATTGCTTCTTTGTAACACAACTGAATATATTTGGTGTGTATAAGGTGGCCCTCTTGTATGGATAAATGGTTATTTTTCTTTGCTCTTTATTATAAAAGAATCTGATCAAATTAGCATGTGAGCAAATGTTTTCATAAGTTCTTACTATTATAACCCAAACAAATCCCTTTTTCATCTGTAAATCTGGATTTATAACTTTCTGCCCCCTCTGCTCCATACAGAAATAAGTTGTTTCCTGAGTCTGCTGTAAGGAACATCATGTTTCAGATACTGCAAGGACTTGCATTTATTCACAAACATGGTAGGTGATTTGGATTAATGTTGTCATCAGGTGGATGTAGGAAGCATCACTGTCTTTTGTAGTTGATTCCCAGAAAAGGTTGGAGAGCCCAGCTGGGTGTAGCTCAGCGGTTGAGCATAGAACTAGGATCTAGGAGATCAGGGTTCGATTCCTGGCCAGGGCACATGCCCGGGTTGCAGGCTCGATCAATGACTCTCATCATTGATGTTTCTGTCTCTCTTTCTCCCTCTCCTTTCCTCTTTCTGAAATCAATAAAGATATATTTAAAAAAAAAAAGAAAAGAAAAGGTTGGAGAGTCGAGAGGCTGACAGTGGATTTTGGAATATGTTATCTCCATTACCTGATTTCTGAATACCCTTCATTCNAGGTTGGAGAGTTGAGAGGCTGACAGTGGATTTTGGAATATGTTATCTCCATTACCTGATTTCTGAATACCCTTCATTCTTTCTCATGTCTGCGTATTCTTATTCTTTAGGCTTTAACATTAAGCATGTTAGTTATAGATCTAAAATTATTCATGCCCATTAACTGGTGTATTAATGAGAAACCTAAAACAAGAATTCAGAGAAGTTTCACATTATGTTTAACCCACTCACTAACACTGATCTCATTTTCTCAATGTATTTATATTTCAGTTTGTTCAAAGGGGTTCAAAAATAGTCGAACAAAATTTATGCAATGCAGGAAAATAAAATGAATGAAGAATTAGCAACGAAAGAAAAAGGCAAAGGCAAAACAAGCTATGGCTGTAACCAGGGGTGAGGTTAATCCGCAAAATGCATATCAGCATGCTTTACTCAGGTAGAAGAAGCAGGCCACAGATTCATTCTGAGCTTGTTTTCTGACAGTGCAGAATGTGAAACGTCACTGATTACTACCTATATAGTTTCCCCGAGGTAAAACAGTCCATTTGCCCAAGAGAAGCAGAGCTATTCTTGGTACTGAGACCAGAGAGGTTCTCTTATGTGTCCTTATAGAGGGGACAGTGTGTAATGTGACTTCATGGGAAACCCAGTGACAGGTTACATGGGGAAGTTTCATGTCATATCCCTCAATATAGGCCAGTTATATCACCTGCTCAGAGAAAACAGCTACTGCGGCCCAGGATAATTCACTTTAGGGATGGCCTGGTTAGGAAAGATTTAGAGTATCTAGAAGAATGGATGACTCTATACCCTTCAGGAAATCATCTACCACTATTATTCTTTTTATCTGAGCTTTTGAAAAATATCGAGTAGTAATGAATTTGAGGTTATATTTAACAGCAAGTACCTGGGACATTATTAGTCTTTGTTACTAACTGGACGCAACCCACCTGAGGTTGGATCGATACGTTCTAGTGAATAAGAGCTATGGGACAGGTTCAGCAGTAGAGCCAGGAGGCGCCTCAGGAGGTCATTTGAAGTCACTTTAATATATATGCAGATGGGTAAAGCAGCCGATCTTGCACTGGCAGCAATCCACTCACTCCCAGTCTAAGGATATCGTTGCCATTGCAAATATTGTACCAACAAATGAGTTTCATTACCCAGTAAGGAAACTGGATGGAAACCCTTTGATAATACAGTCAGTTCAGATTTGACACAAATTGGTAGTGAGTAGAAAAGACATTTTGCCACAGCCTGTGACACCGTCTATCTGGGATTGTTCCCAGCCTGTTTTTTAAACCCTAAGTAGCCTCTCACAGAGACTAAATGAAAGGCAAACTACAGACAGAGGCTATCTGTGCAAATCCTTGTCAGCCTCAGGCACATGCTGAGTAAACAGCAAGAAATTGAAAGATTGAGTCAAACTGTGAACCAATACTAGTAAAAGAAGTTTTTAGTAAAGGCGTGTCCAGTTCTGCTGACGGTGATACAGCTAGCACTTTAGCCTGTAGTCACCAGAACGCGCAAGGGGTGGTGTGAGTTTGCAAAACACAAAAACCTTATAGTAAGACATTAGGGACAAACAGGGAGAAAAGAGTCACTTATTAGATTTAAGAGCCCAGGAAAATAGAAATGAGAAGAAATCAAAGAGATTCTCAAAAGAGAAAGGTCAACTAGAATATTTTCAAGTAGGGACCAGTCATAGCATCTAAGTTGCTTGGGCTACTTGCTCAGTGCTGGAAACTGAATGGGACCTAAAAGAAAGTTAATATTCTTTGGCTTTCTCTTCGTTTGCTATTGTCATGAGACTCAGATATTTGTTGCCAGAAAGAGCATGTAGCCTTCTATCCACGTCTCTACCTAACCCATCAAATGAATACACACATGTACCCTTGTACATGTGCATCCACGTCGACATGTACACGTATCCACATGTGCATGTATCTACATATACACTCCTCCCCCATCCACACGTACACACACGCAAATGCACATATATGTGTGCACACACAATACATATTTGTGTCCAATAATTTAGCATCCGTATACTATTGTGTCAAAACGGCTTTTTAGAACTCTGCACTGTCAGTGGCCTTAGCCGCTCCGGTTGTATGTGGGACGCTCAGTTTATTGGGAAGGTCAGACCACCTTTACTTTATGACCCCAGCACCAGTGCTATTAACAGAACTTCTTGACACTTTCCCCAGCTGTTAAGTGCCCAGTTCTAGTTATAACTTACTAACATTTCCTCTGTCACTTTATTTCCATGCCAGTTTCTCAAGTAGAAAAGATAGGTGGTATCTGTTCCTTCCAAAGAGGTTTAGAGAGGTTTAAAGACCCGCCAAAGGCTCTGCTGTAGTAAGGTGGTAGAGCAGAGATTAGCTCAGATACTTGTGTCCATTTGCTCCGCTTCACTAGAAAAACCTGTCCTCAAAGCTATCAAGAGAGTAAGAGGTTAAGAAAATAGCGAAAATAATCGTATCGATATTAATTTTACAGGTCCTACCTCATTTTCATTGATAAAGGATTTGGGGAAACTTTTTCATGGTATTTATATGGTATTGACTTGACTTTGGTTAGGCGCACATGTAACTCCATATTATTTCTTTTCTCCAGTAATGGAAGAACAGTAAGCTAAAGCACATCACAGATCTGCCTTAGCTTCAGGCTCCTCCCTGTCCTCGTTCTCACTGTGAGAGGCGCTCTGCCCCTGGGGAGTGGGCTCCTCCGAGAGGGGAGCGCAGCACTGCGGGTAGTTGCTATGGCCATGGTCCATGTCGCTGAGCACTTTCCCCACACAGGGACTAAAAACGCCATCCTGCTTGGGGCCGACTGAGCAGTGTCAGAGCACATGTGCTTTGAGGGAATTAAATAATTAATGCACGCTGTGTTTTATCTTTAACCTGCTCTTACAAATATTCGGCTCACACTTATCCATGCCCATAATCAGAAGTGCATTAGGTGGCTTGGGGAACAGTGTTTTGCCCCTAGAAGTGGTTCTCTGCTTCTGTGTGTCAGCACTGTCTTCGTGCACATGGCCCTGAGTCAGCCCTTGGCCTGTGTGTTGCTGTTTTCATGGCTCTCTTTGTAAAAACATTGTAGGCTTAAGTTCAGTAATATCTGTGAAATTATACCTTCCATCTCAGGAAGGTGTGCTGTATAAATTCATAGTGTTTAAATACTCTCTGGTTATTTCCATATATTCGTATCAGGCTCGTCATTAACAGAATGTGCAGAGGGAAGAAAGACGCCTTTGTGGCTTGATGGTTTCCTTGCCTCAGGGTTCTTAGTGAAAAGTAAGCCCAACACATTTTCTGCCAGGATGAAAGAGAAAATCCCTCTGGTATTCGACTGACGTGGGATACCCTGAAATTAAACTGAAGGGCTGCTCTGGAATTATGAAAGCCAAACAGTTTTGAACAGGAAGGTTCTTATGTTAGAAGCAGTTGGCTGTTGCGTGACCCCTGAACGACCCAGCTGTAAGGGTTTGCACTGTGAATCGGAAGTGCAGAGGGAGAAGTGGACTCTTGTTACAAGTCCCCATGCACACATCACAGAATGACCCTGCCAGGAATCAGATCAGAGCTTAGCTCCACCTCCACACAGGTGGAGGGCCACAGCACTAGCCTCACGAGCCTTGATTCTTACCTGCAAAAATGGAGCCGTGTCTGCCTGTCCACTTTACCAGGTTGTTGGCAAGAGAAAATGCGAGGACTCATACCACTAATAACAAGCTCTTGCAAGGTACCGATTGCTAAGTGCTGCTCTAAAAGCTCTGCAAATATTAACACCTTGATATCCTGCAAAACAACCTCACGAGGTAGATGCTGTTATTCCCCCATTTTACAGATGAGGGGAGTGAGGCACAGAGAGAGTGAGTGATTTGCCAGCCAGTGAACAGAACTGGGATTTGAAATCAGGCAATCTGATTGGTCTGCACACTTAACCACTACGCAGCATTGCCTCTCATGCGGAAATAGCAATATTTTGTTAAAATGGAGATGAGAAGTAAATGTACATGACACGAGGGTCTTATACTTCCAATTACCAAGGAATAGAGCTCCTGGGCATAAGGCTAATAATATCTATTGCTATTATTATTATTCAGTAATGAAAAGAACAGAGGGCTAGATTCCACAGACATGTTCATAAATGTTTCTAGTTATAAAGGCTCATACTCAAATATAGTATAACAGACAACATATGTCAACTGACAGATACAGTTTTCACCAGCCAATTTTAAGAGCCTGTTTGCAATTAATTTTTTTCCTAACCATGTTCCCTCTGGTTGTTTATTTGGGGCCTGAAGTATGATCCATAGAAGAGAAAGCTGCTTTAGAGGGACATATTGGGAACCAGAATCTTCGCTCTCCTCACTTCATTAGTGCACATGTTCTCTGTGGAAGTAGAATTAAAGACGAGTTAGCAGTGAGGGAGAGAATAAAGCTTGACTGACGGGAGGAAGTAGTCCACATTTATGGGAGCATGACCCAGGGTGGAAGCCAGGTACAAGGCCTGGAGTGCAAGAACATGTGTATCTGAGCACAAGCCGATGTGGTGGGATGAACTGAACAGAAGATGCAAGTCTGTTGAGGTGGGTGTTAGAGATGGTGGCAGTGAGGCTTGGGAGCTGGAGCACAAATGACTCATTATAAGATAAATGCCACATAAGTTTAGAAATAATAATTTCACCCAATCTGGACACGAGAAGACCAGAACCAAAAATCTAGATTAGCTGTGTGAACTGAGAGGGACAGAGCAGAGCTCCCTAGTGTAACAGCTGTGGCACATTTATTGGTAGGATTATGAATAATTCACCCACCAACCATGATTCACTTTTCCCATCTGTTCAGTAAGAAAACAATGGCTACCATTTCATTTCTCACTGGGTGTTTTTAATGCTCTGAGTTTTTAGGAAGAGAGACCATGGTCTCATTGTTCGCATATCTTCAGGGCCCATAGGATCCTGGATGCACTGATGAAAGGCCCCTCTCTAACAATCGTTTGTGCATTTTCAGCTTCCTAAGTCAGTTCCAAGATGGGAGCATGCAGTCAGGCCTTCTGGGAGCTGGATGCTGCTCTGAAGAACAGAGGGTCCAAACATAGTGACTCAGTTACACAGTCACTTAGAATGGACCTCGCCCACTCTGGTGGGCGCTGATCATCTTTATTTAATTAGGCCGAGAATAAGCCATTTAAACTTGCCCTCATCAGAAACTCTTTCATTTTAAAGGCCATTTTTGACTAATACTGAATTACTGTTTGAATTTGTTGTGTTGACAGCCTCAAGTTTGGTTCTTCCTATAATTTAAGTTTAATTTACTCTTAATTTGGTTAGGATACTTCAGGAATTGGTATGAGGAAAGCCATTAGGTATATATTAGTACAATGGCAGGATAAAGAATAAAGCAATGGGGATATATATATATATTTTTTTCTTTCTATACCCATATTTACATATAAACAGTCATATATATACATATACATACGCTGTACAAGTAGGAAATTCACTGTACCTGTCTCTGGTCTAACCCAGGTCTAATTCCTTTGACCTCAGTGGCTTGGATTATGGAAAACAGAAGCATCTCATTGGTGGAAGGAAGCACTTTCTCTTCTCTCCTGAGGCCCTCTTGAATGCATGCGATCACTTCTGTACCTTCAGCCCTTCTATGTGTACTGGGTTTTAGGCTCTGTTATTATACTCTGTCCATCTCAACCAGCCTTTCACCTTACAGACATCACTGTGTCATAATACTACCCATGTGGAACTTCACCTAGTACTAAGCCCTGGTGTCAGAATGAACAGAGAGGAGTGTCCTTTTATTAAAACATGTTGCTTTCTGTGATACATGACACCTAGTGCGTTTTTCACTTATAACCACATTACAGTCACCCACCTCTTCCTCTAGAACAGAAAGGGTTTTGGAAAATGACCTTGACATGTAGATTTAGTCCTGCTGGAATGCTCTCTGTGATGAGGACTTCCCACTCTGAGCCCTCAGTGTCTCCCACACTGCATCAGGGTCATTGCTCTTCTCTCTCAGTTCTCAGCTGCTGTCTTGTGAGGCCTCCTTCCTCCCTGCTCCCAACAGCCCTAGTCTGCTCTCTGTCGCCCCTACCTACTTGGCACAGGTCTGTTTTCACCATTAAGTTGCTTCACATTTTCTAGAAACCTATTCAAGTCCTTGGCCAATCAGCAAGAACATATTATGAGGCCACTGTGCTCTGCCACTGCATTAGACATTAAGAAGAATTATAACCATGGCCTCTACCTGTAAAGTGCTGCATCTGATTAGTGAGAGCGGCTTAACGTACCTGAAAATGATAGCACTCTGCTCAAGTTTATAGGAGAGGGCCTATGACATCCACCAAGGCAAAAACCATGACCATTTGGGTTGCTTCTGAATCCACAGAGCCTAACCCAGTGCCTGGCATGGAGTGGGCCCTCCTTGAATATTTATTGGTAGAATGAATGAATGAATGAATGAATGAATGAATGAATGAATGAATGCTAACACATTAGAATGGCTTCATGGAGGAAGGGAAACTCAAAGCAAGCCTTAAAGAAAGACAAAGATTGGGATTGATACAGACGAAAAGTACAAGGGTACAACATTGTGAAAGGGAATAAATACAGGGAACCTAAGGAAAATGAGGAATTTTCCCTGATTAGAGCACACTTTACACATATCGGTGGTAACTATTGGGAAATAATTTTCTCTCTCTTGATAGACTGAAAGTTCAGGCTTGTTAAATAATTTAAAAAGGAGCCATGGAAGGTTTTGTTGTGTGTGTTTGTGATGGGACAGTGACAAGGGAAAGACAGTGTTTGAATGATCAGGAAGTGTGGTAACCCAGACAAGCTGCAGTGAGGACGGCCTGCTAGAAAGTGGCAGAGCAGGGATAGGCTGCGAGAGCTAGGATTTGGGAGGGGCCAGTGAGAAAGGGCACGAAGGACAGATAGGAGGTATTTTGATGAAAAATGTGACAGTTCCATGGCTTTCTAGGGAAAGTTAGATGGATCCAATCTAACTATGAGGCATCTGGGTATCTTATCAAGGTTCAAGAAGGAGAGATGGTTTGGGACAAGTCAGTGTGGGATGACGGTGACATTCAGCTGCTGTCATTAGAGGCATCGGCCTAGAGAGGGGTAGAGGAGGCAATTGGAGATGTAGATTTGAACATTACCAGCATAGAGATAGTTGAGGAGTTGTGTAGATCTTCAGTGATGGCTGTTAATTTCTTCCATAATATACTAGTTAGAACCTAACTTTCACAACATTGGTAATGATAGCACATAACAATACCATTAGCAGCATTAACGGAGTTGTATTTCCAGTCTGGGTGTTCCATTGAGATTTAGGGTCACATACAATGAAGTTTATGTCAGCAATGCTCTCCATAAGTGGGGGGATTCTGGGCATATATAGCTGATCAGTGGGTGTCCGAGTGCACCCGAAAGGTTGGCATGTTGACTATCTCCTGCATGCACCCCCAAAGCTTTGCTGTAGCCCAGACCGGCTTCCCCTGTGATGAGTTTTCTTTGCCTTTCACGACGTGAGCTGCCGCTGTACAGCTGCACCTCTACTTCTTCATTAGGCAAAGTAGTGTTTAACATTTAAACATCTGTTGCAACACACACCAGAATCTCAGCTATGAGTAAGTCACATTCATAAATCCCTTGTTTCTTGAACAAAACTCGTAATTGTGTTTCCGTAATTGTGGTATAAATTCTCAGTACCCATAAAACTTGTCTTTGAAATGATATTTTTTACTTGAATGACAATTTCTTTTTGCAGTTATCTCAGCCCATAACTGAGTTTTGACATTTTAAAAGAAATTTTCTCTCTTGGAACAAAGTTGTGAAGATCAACTTTGGAATAATTTTACATTTTGAATTCATCAAAGAGAAATGAATGACTCTTTGAGCAGTCCAAAGGATGAATATATAGAGCCCTCAGTGTCACACCTGAATTATAATTCGAATTACAGCTGTTATGAAACGGGCAATACAGCTGCAAAGGGTGATGCAGAAGCGATCTCACATCTGATTCCTTCTCCACTGTCTCTCCAGGCTTCTTCCACCGGGACTTAAAGCCCGAAAACCTGCTCTGCATGGGACCAGAACTTGTGAAAATTGCAGACTTTGGATTGGCCCGAGAAATCCGATCAAGACCTCCGTACACAGATTATGTATCTACCAGATGGTGGTTACCATTTTCTTTAAAATTACTTAATTACATTTCCTTAAAAATATATCATTACGTTGAGGATAATATTAATGTCACAAACATTAACTTTTCACTAAGAGAAACAGGTGATTGAAAACATATGTGTATGTTGGCCTTGCACAGGGTTTAAAAGCTTGTGTTGTAAATAATGTTTTAAAGGAAATCCATTATGCTTTTCCATAATATAAATAATATTTTATAGACCTTCCTAAAGACCGTTTACTAAAAGAGTTATGTAAAAGATTCTCCAAAGACTTGTCTGACTAACCAGATTTATTGCTATTATTAAAACTTTCAGGCCCTGGTTGGGTAGCTCAGTTGGTTAGAGCATTGTCTGGATACACCAAGGTTGTGGGTTCGATTCCTGGTTAGGGCTCATATAAGAATCAGCCAATGACTGCATAAATTAGTGGAACAGCAAATCAGTGCCTTTCTCTCTCTCTCTCTCTCCCTCACTGTGTCTTCCTCTCTCCCTTCCTCTCACTCTCTAAAATCAAAAAATAAATTTTTTTTTANCCTCACTGTGTCTTCCTCTCTCCCTTCCTCTCACTCTCTAAAATCAAAAAATAAATTTTTTTTTAAAAAGCTTTCGGGCCCTAAGAATTTGATTTAAGCAGTTGGCCACAACCAAGAAGTAGTCTACAGACAACAAGTTTTACGTTTTCTCTCTCTTTCTACTCTTCTCTCTCAATCTCTCTTTCCCTCGCTTTTATTCTCGCTCTCTGTGTTTCTCAAAGAGGCTGTGGAGAGGAAAATAGGCGACGCAATAGAAAATACCGTAGGATAGAAACACTGCTTTCTGACGGCAGCCGCAGCAGTTGCCCATCTCGACGCCTGCACGTACCACACTGAGCTAGACAGAAAATGGAAATCTGTAAATCCTCACTGTGAATTGATGGTGTATTTAATGTACTCTGGCCAGAGGGAGCAGTAACAGGCAGCTCCCCTTTGCCCCTCCAGGTACAGGGCTCCAGAAGTGCTCCTGAGGTCCACCAACTACAGCTCCCCCATCGACATCTGGGCCGTGGGCTGCATCATGGCCGAGGTGTATACACTCAGGCCACTCTTCCCTGGGGCCAGTGAGATTGACACAATCTTCAAAATTTGCCAAGTCCTGGGGACCCCAAAAAAGGTAAGCCAGCTCCCTGGCCTCCGCCCTGTGTAGCACTGGCTCCGTGATCACTGCTGGCCCTGCTCCTTCTGGAATCTCTCTCTCAACCTCAGTAACCTCCACGCCCCCGTTCTCAGACACGGCCCTGGCTCCCTCCTCTCTCAAGAAGAAATCGGCCTGGCCCCTGCTCTGCCCGCCAGGGCACCCCACCTCCCTTGCAGAGTTTCTCTGTTCTCATGGCTACAGCACTTACGAGCTATTCAGAATGTAACCTGTAGCCCTCACCTCCCTCCTTTATACCTCCATTCACATGTTTATCTCTGGAATTTTCTCCAGACGCCCTCCCCATCACCTCGGACGCAACATGCCTGACAATTTGCCTTTTTAAAAACTTCTCCCAAAGAACACGAACACACTGGATGTTCTGCGCACTTCTTACCTTACATGTGGTGTTCAGTATTTTAGTTCACTTTTTAAACTTCTGAATTATTTATTTATGCATTTTATTGTTTTATATCATCACTGCTTATTTGCTTTTTCTTTCAGTTGTAATGAGATGTAGTTGACACACAGCGTTGTGCAGGTTTAAGGTGCACCAGGCTGCTCTGTGTTTCCCCCAACCAGCTCCCTTCCTTCATTCCCCATTTGTGTCTGTGGTCCCATCGTAATCCCAGAGCCCCAGCCTTGAGGCCGAGTGTCCGTTTTACCTTTCCTCCTTCCCTCACTCCCCTTCCCCTCACCCAGGCCGTGGGTCCTTAAACCCTGTTGACTGTCGCTGCACAGCATCTCTCACATGGCTCTCGTCCTTGGAGTCCGCGCTGCCATCACAGACGGGGCCGTGCTCCCCTTCCCTGTCTGGGGGTGTCACTCTTTCTGCCTTCAAGTCTTTCCCCCCAGCTTATCTTTCAGTCTGCAGCCAGCTCACCTTCTTAAAGAACAGGTCTGGTACTATCTCCCCTCCTAAAAATATTCACCGGCTCCTCGTCACCCAGCCCCCTTGCTGTCATTCCCTGCCCCCACTTCATACCTGTACCCCCCCCACACCATGTGCCCTGGAATCTCTGCTCTGCAGTGCTCTGCATATACGCAAAGGTCTGTCCCATACCCCAGTCTGCTCTTCTTCTGAGGCCCCAAAATCGTCTTTCTCCCCACTGTTCCTCTGATCTCCTCTCCACCTTCCACTGTGATCTGTGTTATTAATACAATCGTCTGTGTCCATGTCTGTTTCCTGGACATTACGCTCACTCAGGGCAAGGATTTGTCTTGTGTTTATTTGTGTTTCTTTTTCCAGGTCCTAGCACCATTGCTGGTACAAACCAGTTCCTCAAAAGAAACTACTAAGTCATTTGAATGAATCATTAGTGGCACCTCTTCAAGATTTCCAGAGTCTCCTGCTGGAGCCTCCCCTCCTGGGGATAACTGTGTCCATACCTCTCATAACCTTTCCTATTTTTTATTCTGTATTCCTGTTATTTTTAATTAATTAATTAAAATAATAGTTCCTTTTTTAAAAAATATATTTTTATTGATTTCAGAGAGAGGAAGGGAGAGNCCCTATTTTTTATTCTGTATTCCTGTTATTTCTAATTAATTAATTAAAATAATAGTTCTTTTTTTAAAAAATATATTTTTATTGATTTCAGAGAGAGGAAGGGAGAGGGAGAGAGAGAACCATCAATGATGAGAGAGAATCATCGATCCACTGCCTCCTGTACTCCCCCTGCGCGCCCCCTGCTGGGGATGGAGCCTGCAACCCGGGCATGTGCCCTGACTGGGAATCGAGCCTCGATCTCCTGGGTCATAGGTCTGTGCTCAACCGCTGAGCCACACCAGCCAGGCTGTATTACTGTTTATAAATAAACATCTTATTTTTTCCTTTGGACAGTAATTTCATTAAGGGCAAGATTTACATCAGATTATTTTTGGATACCCAACACTACGCCTATAGTAGGCATTCAGCAACTAAGTGAATTAATGATATAAGCAATACATAAAGCCACTTCACTTTAAAAAACAACAACACAAAACACAATTACACCGTAACGTCTCTTGTAAAATAGTGGAGTGTTGGAACTAGAAGCCAACCTTAAAGATCACTTGTTTGTCCTTTCCCGTTGTTCTAGCATTTAGTGTCACAGGTATGATGGATGGGAAAGCAGAGAGCTTGAGTTGGGGCGGTCCAACTTTCTTTGCTGCGGGACTTCTCAGCATGTGCATTTTGAATCATCGAGATGGGGATATGTAGGTTTTGACAAATTTATTTAACTGGGACAAGGTGTTTTGTTTTATTCCTTCCCCCAAATGTCCTAGTAGCAGTTTCTAAAACCTCTGCCTCATGGAACACAATTGGTAAAATATTAATTTGGTTTAACCCCCAAATCTCAAGAGAGGAGCTATCTTGTGTTAAGGTTATAAAACAAGTTAGTAGCAAATCCAGTGTCTTCTCTATACTTTCCCAGAGTTCGTGTACTTTCTGGTCTCTGCATAGCATCCTCCTGTGGGTCAGTCATCACACACGGTGCCAGGAGAGTGGATATGGGCGTGGGTGTGACATGATTGCCTTTCCCTTATGGACGCACATGCCAGGATCTACACTGCTGTCCCAGCGAGTCAGCTGAGCAAGATTTTCTATCTTTTCTTTCTTTCAGACCGACTGGCCAGAAGGCTACCAACTTTCAAGTGCTATGAATTTCCGCTGGCCCCAGTGCGTACCCAATAACTTAAAGACCCTGATTCCCAACGCTGGCAGTGAAGCAATTCAACTCCTGAGAGACCTGCTTCAGTGGGACCCCAAGAAACGGCCGACAGCTAGTCAGGTTTTCTTCCATTTTCTTCTGTTCGATGCATTTCTTATGAAGTTCATATCTAACTCTGAATAAGTCCTATATATCTCACAGGAAGTACTTTATTTGGTATTATGGGTTAAAAAAAAATAGTATTGAATACCACTATTGGTGTATTATATATAAGAACTTAAAATAGTTTGAAATGTGTAAGGTTAAAGTAGTTGAAGTTTAAACAATATAGTTGCTTTGAAAACTGGCATACAGTTCACATGATCTATCACCATATATGTGGAAATGAAAATAAACATATATCCACCTGTGTTTGGAGATTGCTTTCAAATATGTTCTTTATAAGTTAAGATTATGTAGCAATTTGTTTATAAGTCAGTGCTGGTTGTTGAAAGGGAATTTGAAAATGTCTTCTAAAATCCAACTCGCTCATTTTACAGATGACAGAGAAAGAACAGCAGATGAGATAGAGCTGGGATAATAACCATGATAAACATTTTATAGCACGTTATAGTTCATAAATGCTTTAGTATGTTTTTGTGCGAATTTAACCCCATTAAATAGTATTACTCTTTTCATTCTATAAATGAGAAAACTGAATCTCAGAAAGTTTAAGTGATTTGCCCTCATCACTCATTTAGTAACTAGTTAGTTCAGACAGTGCAACCAACTGCAATTCAGTCACACAAATGGCAGGTCTTCTGGCCCCATACCTCCTGTTTTCTCTACCCACCCTCCCCTAGGTCACCTCGACTTAGATTATAAAATGCACCCCAAAGAGGTGTGGTGGTACTGTGGACTCCAGCACGCCCATGCCTCCTGCCAGCTGCTTTTTGCACTAGTTGTGTCTGGCCCCTTCTCACCTTGTCTCATTGACAGTTACATTGCTCAGGGGATTAAAAAGGTGACCAGTTCTAATCAGAAATGATGATTCTGCTAAGCAGAAGTGACAGTGACATTTGAAGACATTGCTGATGTGATGTTAGGCCTTGTGAGAGCTGGAGAGATGGTAGTTGGGGGATTAAAGACTTGTAGAAAAGCAGTTTTCCAAAGCTCAAAAGAAGAAAGAGCCAAAACTTGGTACCATAAGGCTCTGGATAGCTCAAGAGGGTAGGAAAGCTCTCAGAAATGCACTCTGGGGATGAAATGCACAAATATTCTCAGGGCAGGAAGGAAGATTTCTGATGAACTCAGTGTTTTAAAGGATGCACACATATAAAAACAAAAATATTCTGTAAAAGGGAACCTAGAGAGCACTGCGTGCTTTCAAGAATTGTGGCAGAAAAGCTAAAAATACCCCTGAGTCAGTGGAGACTTGCAGAAATGGGACTATGGAGGAGAATTTTCAAGTTAGATGCCAGGGCCCAGGACCTGTACCAGAGTATTCACACTCTTTGCCTCTGTATTTATACTTGCACTATGGAGGAGAATTTTCAAGTTAGATGCCAGGGCCCAGGACCTGTACCAGAGTATTCACACTTTTTGCCTCTGTGTTTGTACTTGCACTGGTGGTTACAGATGTTTACAACTATGTCCCAGAAGGGTTAAGAAAGGTTTTGTTCAGTGATTTTCATTCAAAAAGACCAAGGAAAACAGGGAATATTTCAGAAAGACTTGGAAGATTTATCCCTTGGCTATCTAGAAAACTCGATTATTCAGAACAACTAGCAAGTCTGGGTGCCAGTTGATCCTGATAGGCAAGGTTTGGCTCTGTCACGCGTTACACTCTTGGCATTTCGGGGTAAAGCAGATATACCTGCTTATCTTACACTTGATTCTTCAGGGCCCCCCAGGATCACTGTGTTATATCACTTTTTTCTCTCCTATGGAATGAGGAAATAAATGGGCTTAGAAAGGTGAAGTATTATATTTAAGACATATAGCAAATAAATTACAAAACTAGGATCTGTGTTGAGCCAGAATACTTTCCAGTAGTTGCAAAGGTACTAGCAGTGTAACTGGCTGCTTTAGGCAGATCATTTTAAGTACACGCATTTGATGATACTTTAGATAAGAAAAATCACAAGGGGTGTTACAGATTCAAGGTGCTGTTTTATACAGGGTGGAGCAAAGGTAGGTTTACAGTTGTTCATATGGAAAATAATAGTTAATAAATAATAATACAAGAATAAACTGTGTTTCACATACTCACAACTGTAAACCTACTTTTGTCCCACCCCGTAGTTGGCTTAAACTAAGAAACTGTAGTAAACTGGTCTCATGGAATGTAGCCCTGTGAGCTGATGGTATTAACCTTCCCGCTAGACTTCTATCCTAAAGCAGCCCTATGTGTCATTCCAGGCGCTTCGATATCCTTACTTCCAGATTGGCCACCCCCTGGGCGGCACCACACAGAGCCTTCAGGATTCAGGAAAACCACAGAAGGACAGCCTGGAAAAGGCAGGCCTGCCACCTCACATTAAGCCAGTCCCTCCTGCCCAGCCCCCAACCAAACCACACATGCGGATTTCTTCGAGACAGCATCTAGCCAGCCAGCCCCCTCAGCATCTCATGTACCCCTACAAGGCAGAGGCGTCCAGGACAGATCACCCAAGCCACCTTCCAGAGGACAAGCCAAGCCCCTTGCTCTTCCCATCCCTCCACACCAGGAACCCTCCAGTGGTAAGCGGCGAAATTCACTCGTGAGCCTCCTGTCTGGCCTATTTCTCTTCTCACATCACTTACTTTGTGAACTGGTTTTTTTCCTCCTCAGCCTATAAAGTCTAATTATAGTAAGTTTATCTTTGTAATAGCATGAAACTGTGAGAAGAGCTTTGGCCTTGGAGTTAAAGAGCGAAGTTCAAGTTCTTGCTCTGCCTATTTATCAGGAGAGCTAATAAATAGGTGGTTGAGAGCTGGACGCTGCAGCCAGATCGCCAGGGTCTCAGATCTCGGTTCTGCTGTTTCACAGCTCGGTGGCCCTGTGCATGTCACCTGGCTCTCTGTTCCTCCTCTTCTCTCTGTAAAATAGGGATGATAATAAGCACTGCCTGATAGAAATATTTTGAGGACTAAAATGAGTGACTACTTGAAAGAATTTAAACTAATACCTGGCTCCTAGTAAGAACTCGATAAATATTAGTCATTGTTACTGATCCCTCTGCACTCAGCTTCCTCACCTGAAAAAAAAGATTGTTATGTCTGTCTTGCCCACCGGACAGGGCTGTTCATGAGGATCAAAGGTCCTGCTGCTTGTACAAATGTTTTGAAAGTCACAAAGTGCCACAGTAATATTTGTAGGTCGTTACTCCCATGAGTGCCATTAATGGCTGTTAAGGCTAGGCTGTTAATGGGGCCAAGATCTTTCTTCTCCTTTTGGGCTGGAGTTCAAACGGAGTCAACGCGTGTTAGATTTAATCAAATAGTAACCTGACCAGGGAGTCTAATTACCAGCAGCTTTATAATGCTGTCTGAAAGTCTGATTTTCTAACCCCTTTATGCAAAAGTAATACTTTTCCTGTCAACTAGTATTCATTTACTGAGCTCTGGCTCCCAACCAGCACAGTGCACTATTACTGCATGAGGTTACAGGATGGTCTCTAGACTTTTCACTTTACCCCAGCCCAGGACTCGATAGCAATGTGTGTTTGGAAATTTCCTATTATAGCTAACTCTGTAGTTAAATTGTATCCAGGTCTACCAAGAAGGCAAAGAAGATATTACTTGTATTGTTTTCTGTAAAAGAGGGGGATGACTGGCATCTTAGCTATATTCTGTTACATCTTTATTTATAACACTGTAAATCATGGCAACTGTTTGAGATGAGGCCTGAATGAGAACCTAGCCATCTTCCCAGTATGGGAGAAGTACCTTAAACTTCTTTTTTTAAATTCTTTTCATATACAACTAGTGTCCCCATAAGATGAAGCCCGACGTAATCTGTGCAGGGTAGGGGAGAGACAAAGGTCTGGGAATGCGTTTCTCAGGTTGTCCTTTCGGATAAGCAGTGCGTATTAGGGAATGCTGTGCCCCAGGACCCTCCTTTTCGTGACCAAGAAAGTTCAGAATGGGGATTAGCCATGGGTGAGCTCCATTAATGCCAAGTATTGCTTTTTTTCCTCTCTCCTTGTAAACACAGAAAATCCTAGCTGGGCTGGAGCACAAAAACGGTGAGATCAAGCCAAAGAGTAGGAAAAGGTGGGGGCTTGTCTCCAGGTCAACAAAGGACTCCGATGACTGGGCTGACCTGGATGACTTGGATTTCAGTCCATCCCTCACCAGGATTGACCTGAAAAACAAGAAGAGACAGAGCGATGAGACCCTCTGCAGGCAAGTGTCTGCTTGTCTGTAAACGGGCTGGATCTGGGATTTGTGAGGGGACCGTTACCCGTCTGACAATGCTTTCTCTCACGCATGACCTGAGCCACGTTCTCTCCATTCAGATTTGAGAGTGTTTTGGACCTGAAGCCTTCTGAGCCCGTGGGAACAGGAAACAGCGCCCCCACCCAGACTTCATATCAGAGGCGAGACACACCCACCCTGAGATCCGCAGCCAAGCAGCACTACTTGAAGCACTCCCGATACTTGCCTGGTAATGAAAACAATTCCCTTTTCTGTGACCACTGATAAGAAACCATTTTTCTGGCATCCCGTGTTGACAGAGATTCTGTTTTGGAAGGCACTTGGGGCTTCTCTTCAGAACTGGTAGGAACATCGTAAGAGTATTTGCTGGAGCCCAGGTCTCATATTTTTAGTTTATATAGTTGCCTAAGATAAGAAGCTTGGTAGAGGAAACTGGGTCCAGCCCCCAGGGAGGGAGGAACTGGTAAGAGTCAGGCAGCATGCCTGAGGCCTCTCCCTAGACATCGGCAGTGCCTGACACAAGTGGGGATGCGGGCGGTCTAGAGGGAAAGTGGTTTGGCTTGAGGTTAAGGTCAAGGCAGCCTTGGACATTAGGGAGTCTGTGAGGGTTGTTGGTATAGACTGGAGTCATCAGCACAGGATGAGAAGATGGATCTCAGGGGACAGAAAGCAGAAAGAGGGGAGCAGAGAACTATAGGGGTCAGGGCTTTGGAGGGGGGATGCGGAGGAACTTAGATGACAGAGAGGCAGTGGTCTGTGAAGGGGACAAGTAGAGATGTCCAGGAGCAATAAAGCCCAGGACAGCATGAGAGGGGGTCAAGACATAAGATGTGGGACAGATCTGTTGGTAGAGGTTTCAGATACCTCTCTCAGGCTACCCACCAGTGAGTCAACATACTAAACCCAAAGACAGCATCTTTTCTTTTCTTTTCACATGCAATTTTTGCTTAGGTTCTTGACCCATAGAAACTTTTTGACCAGTTGAGCTCTGCATTAATTTCACGCCTGAAGTCTGGTGCATATTTTGCATTTTAAAAACTTTTCTTCCTATCAGGAATAAATATAAGAAATGGCATCCTCCCAACTCCGGGCAAGGATTTCATTCCATCCAACCCGTGGTCTAGTTCCGGTTTGTCTGGAAAATCTTCAGGAACAGTGTCAGTAATCAGTAAAATAAATTCAGGTGAGTAGTCATTAGTAAATGCCAAATGACCAGGAGCAAATTCTCTGGGTGTGGCAGAGTGGATACAGAGATGAGGGTACCAGCTGTGGAACCATGAGGGTATTTCTGCTAAAAAACCCCTGGGCCTCTTATCCAGGCCTGTGCTCTTCTCTCTCTCTCCCTCCCTCCCTCTCTCCCTCTCTCTCTCTCTCTCCCCTCCCCCCCCC